TTCATTTTAATATTATTTTAATATTGTTGTTATGTTTTCTGTAAAGCACTTTGGGCTGCTTTGTGCATGAAAGGTGCTATACAAATAAAGTTTATTATATTATTATAAATTGTAAAAATACTATCTACTATTCAGGAGTACTGATAAAAAAGACTGCTACCTTAAAGACCAGCTCGTCAGTCACGGCGAAGGTTCTGTCCAGTTTCCCTGTCAGGCTGTTGATCTCTTTCTGGAGATCCTTAGTGTCAGACAAAATCTGCAGGGCGGGGGGGCGACGACGACACACAGTGTTATTGAGGGGATGTTACAGCTAATACAAAGACATATTTATGTCATGTGAATGGTAACAGCAGCAGGGCCGTAGCGGTTTGGCTTGCTTTATGTATTCATTATTTCCAGTTCTGACTTGTGATTTGCTTTTGAAAGTACCTTTTTGATTTCCTCCTTCTGTTTCTTGATGTTGCTGACGATCTCTAGAATCCTCTGAGTGTACGCTGACCGGGATGCATCCTGAGGAAGATTTTCTAACTCTGTTACCTACGGGGAAAAAAAACACACATACGGACAAACAAACATTTAGCGCATTAAACAAAAAAAATACTTTTACACAAACCTGTGTCAACACGACGCTTGCAATCGTAACTTGTGAGTTGACCATTTATACTAATACATATCAGGTACAAGTAAAGAAAAGCAAGTTAAATCCATTACCAGCTGTTTGTAGGTCTCTTCTTTCTTCTTGGCCTCCTCTGTAGACACACGGATTTTATCGTGCACAGATTTGATTTCAGACAGCTTTTGGGATGACTCCAGCTGAAGAGCATAAAGACAGGAAATCAGAATCTTTAACAGATGAATTTTCTGTAACAGATGAAGCGACACATTATGGGCCCCACTTACATCTTGTCTGCTGCAGATTTCTTTGAGCCTGCGGTGCTCGTCGATGAGTGGAGCGCGGTGTTTCTCCCACTGAGAGGCCAGGTGCACCACCCGCTTGGCACTGGCCTCCACCAGAGCCTGGAGGAACAAACACAGCGTCTCAGTCTGAGAGCCGCGTGGGCCCTGACCACAGGTCAGATTTTACCCAGCTATCCTACCTTCAGCTTCTGCAGGTTGTCGTCTGAGTCTGGCAACAGGTCGATTGTTTTCTTCTTCACCTGCATCTTCTCCTCTTTTTCAGAGTTCCCCAACTCTCGTTGCTTCAACTCGTCCAACACCTGCACCAAAAACATTACACAGGTATTTCATTTTACATCCTATTTTACTCGTCTTGCAACATTCTCTTGCACTATTTTATTTATACTCTGTTTCTTCCTGCACTATTTTTATTGTTTTTTTGTTTATTGTTTAATGTCTTATATATATTTATGATCTGTTGGAGGAGCCTGGGACTTGAGATTGTCATTGCATTGTACACTGTACAGATGGAGCACTGAATTTCAGACTCCAGCTTACAGCTTCCTGCCTACGACCTGCCTAACACCAGTATAGAGGAATGTTAAGCCCTCCCACTATTTTCGAAGAGGGCGTTGCCAGATTTTCAATTTCAGGTTTTAACCAGGAGATGGCGCTTCATTCACAAATACAGAAAGACAAGTTTCATGGACTTTCAGTTGTGTTTTGAAGAGCATTTGAACACATCAATATTTTAGATCAACTAAAGTATATCTAATCTTGTAATTCAATAATATATAGTCTTTATATATTAAATAATCTAATAATGTAAATGTTTACATTACACTTTATTTGTTATGCTCATACTTTTACCTTTACAATCGTTTGCTTTAATATGCAGTATATTTTTTGTATATTTTTGTGTTTGCTTCCTCCTGCTCCCTTTCGGACACATACTGTATGATTTATTATTATTATTAATATGAAGATATTATTAAGATAAGATAAGATGTTACTTTATTGATTGAACATTTTAGTTTAGAATGTGCTGTCCCACGGTAATTCAGAAGGCTCACAGGTCACATTCCGACCATTATTTAAAACAATAGGTGCTTTCACACCGTCTACAGTTTGATTTGTATAGAGGGAGCTCTGTGGCTGAATGGCCAGCGATTAGGTGTGGCGCATTTATCATAGGTGATCAGAGCTAACTGCCTGCCGTCAGATTTCATTTAAAAAACAGATCTGATTTTAAGACTATTTCTGCGCTCATAAAGACTGATAAGAATAAGAATAATGCGTATTGAACTGGTTTAATTAATTAGTGAGTTTATTTAACACTAGAACCGCCAATCGGGTCAATTTGTGTGATGTGTGTTGTGTGTGTGCAATGTAACTTTTTTCAATAAAATATTAAAGTCTCCCAGTCCGTGACTTTTCCCGAAAGTTTTTATACCCTATGTTGTTAAAAATTGCATTCTAATAGTGGAATTTGACGGGTTTAGGTAGGCCTATAAAAAACCTCTGGTGGTTCTAGTGTTAAGGTAATTAGGT